CCATCGATTTCTCAAGAAGTCTTTCGGCTCGCCGTGTATTTACAGTGCTTCCTTGGCGCACAGACACTGCAAACTTACAAGCTTCGAAGACTTCTTCGGGATTCGAACCCGGGAACATTGGTACGGCAAACAGAGTCAATAATCATTATACTGACTGGGTGGCCAGAGCGTGTTAGTTGTATTAAATGGATTTTATATTAGGAGAACGAGCAGGCTAATCCGTTTGAATAATGTGTTCCCTTTCGAATAGCATATCGACAACCGTAGAGCAATAATGCCGTCTATAAAGCACTGCCGTCTATAAAAATAAATTTGTGTCAAAAGCATCTTGTAAGAAATGCATATGGGGCAACATAATTTCAGTATAGTAGTGTTCAGCGTTTAAAATATGGGCTTTCATTATCTACACTTAAGTAAATCGATTGAATGAAATTCGTCTTCAGACTCAAAACACCTCGAAAGCCATTATTTACGTAATGTTTGTTGTAAGGTAGCGTGTGCCAAATTGTCGCAAAATTAGTTGACGTTCAGTATGATTGATGTGGCTGAATCTACTTTCATTTTTAAACAGTACTTTATCACACTGCGATATTTATCAATCCTTGTGTTTTTTGTACACTTATATCCGGGGATGCTAACGAACAAATGTTGAAGAAATACAGCGTACCGTCTGCTTAACAGATAGTCGATATGTATAGCATATACCAAAATATCCGGTTCCCACGCTGCTAATTTGCAATGGCTTTCGCTATTCTGTGTCGGTGTCTCTTGGTCGCGGATGACCATCACTAGTCCATCAAACAGCTAAATCTATCGTTCTGAAACGTCCGTGGTGCAATGTTCGGGACCGCCATCCACGCCAGTGGACAACATCGATCATGACGTTGGACATTTTCAAGAGCTATGTCCTTCCTCTAGAATCCAGATTATTCTACCATGCACGTTGTCATGCAGATGCTTCTTAGAGGTCATTTTTTATCTTCAGTGAGTAATAAAAGTCACAAAACGTGTGTATCTATCGTGCTCGCCATTAGTAGATTTAAGGAGAATTCTCGAACTCTTCTTTCATCATTTCACGTGCTGTAACACCGCTTTTGGTCACTATTCCAAAATCTGGATATTTAACAGCATTCTGTTGAACATCTACATTTATGTAAATCACCTTAGCTTTACCAGTTAATTTTGAAGTTGCATCCTTTGTAAATAGTGTTATTAATTTCATGATTCGAATTATCTGCTCAGAAGATTGTTTCTAATAATTATGCAAGTCCGCGGTATAAAAATAGAGCAGCTAGTTAAATTTTCATGACAGGAAATGCTGAGAGAAGTGGGTTCTATTGGCAACAGTTTTTCTTTCGGATCTTGTTCCACATTATTTATTGAAAAGATGCTTAGCATCAACATATTTACTGATATTCTATCATTGCTACTAATCATTATAAATTAATTCAGTTTTAAGTTAAGAGAACAAATATGCTTTGTTCATAAACATCTTTGTACCTTTTTAAATAATAAAGTAAAATGCGGGAAGTTACAAGAAAACCCTAAACTTTTAGAGAAACCACATTTTTATTAGGAAACGTAATTCCCTGTCATGATTCTATTTTTAATCTAAATTCTTGAAATTTGATTAAGTGTCATGGGATAGAATATTTTTTTAGAATTGAGTGTTTCTTCTAGAGCTTAAGAAACTCTCAAATTCGATCCGATCTCTTCGTTCAGTTATTATCCATGGATTAAATGTATATGTATTGATGTATTTTAAATGATAATACTGTATTTATATAACTCTAAATCATCTTTTGATATGTTTGCACTATTATTTACCCTCTACTTCAAACATTTTCTGATCTTATGGATAGAAGAATTGTCATAAAAAGTGATAGCTCAAGAGGAAAGGGTAGAATATTTCACTGCCGCAATCAGTTTGAATGTCAGAAGCTCTTCTTTAACTTTACTCTCTAGAAATGTCTGCAATGTATCTGAATACTCTACAATTTATCTGGATGTTGACTTTTCATGAGAGCAATTAATAAAACAAGCTAATTGAAACTGACTTATTTTAATCTTTCACTCCCAATTTAAACATTTTTATTACCGAATAACATTTTTCTCAGTTTCATTACTAGACCTAAATAATATCCGCTGCAGAAAATCTAATATTTTATGGTACGATGCTAATTTCACTAATACTCTATTGCCATAATTTTTCATTAGGTGATGACATACAGTCTACGAAGCTATGTTTTTGTAGCATTTCTAATATTTGGAACAGGTATTTAAAATGACTATATAGTACCTGGAACACAAATGCGTTAAATTCTTTAATATAACTTAGTCATATATGAGAGGTAAGACATTTCTTTGAAATCTGTATAACATAGTTTAGTTTTATTTGCTTAATTATCGCAAAACTCGAAAGCGCTATGTGCCTAAGGAGAGGGCTTTCTAAAGGAAACTGGCTCGTATTCAATGCTCATGCAGACAGTTGATGCAGCAAAGATTTGAACTCAGGCTCAACTACCAGTGTTTAATGACTTTACCGCTCAGCCCCTCGTATACGATATTTATAACAGGACTGTTTGGTTTAAGAACACAGTACGGTTCAAATTGGAAGAGAAACACGCCAACGTAAAATTTAAAATTAGTCAAAAATGCAACCTTAGAACGGTATAGATTTTGAATAAAACTCTGTTGGTTCCGGATCAGATATAGGTTGCTTTACTTCAAGAGCACCCCCGCCTCCCACTCTAAAAAAAAAAAAAAAAAAAAAAAAATATTCTTGGGCAAAGTTCGGAGAAACGATAACCATTTCATGGGAAAACCAATGCATGGAGAGAAGCAAAAAAGAAGAACGTAGCTCCATTCGTTAAGGAAAAGTGATGAAAGATGGAAAAGCTAAGGTATTAGAATTTTGAAAGCGCTGAGAGGAACCGGATTGGAATTAATGTCATTAATTTCAGTTAACTTTCCTGAAAGACTAAACAAATCCAAATCATTGAAGAATCTTTATGGATAATTTTCGAAGTCAAAATTGTGGTTAAATACCCAACTATGAGGAGATATCACAGATAAGTTTATTTTTAATTTTCGAAAAGAAGATTCAATTTATATCAGATAGTTAAAATAGCATTAAACATTAAAGTTTGGCATTAAACATGAATATGACATTCAGAAAGGGGAAATAAACAAGTTTTCGATAACTAATCATAGCTAAGCTTATAACCACAAATTTCACTTTGCTAAAATTATCTACAAAATTTCTTCATTTGGTAAATTAGGCCTTGAATTTTTCATTTTTATCTACTTTAGTGAATGACATTAATTCCAGTCCAATTCTTCCCAAGGCTTCCAGGATTCTAGTATCTTAGATTTGTCACGTTTCAGTACTATTTTTCTCTCAGGAAAAGTGTTTTAGCTTCTGAACAGGATCTATTTCTGATCGCGGCCAAAATAGATAGTTTATTCAAATCCCCGCTCAATAAAGGTTATTTTCTCTGTTTAGGATATGGTATAGGAGAATAATACTTGTGTTCTGTGTGCAATTATCTGAGATATCAAGATGATTGAAAACTGGGGAATTGAGAAAAAATTTGACATTCAATTTCCGTCCGTTATTGTTTCTGTAAAACTTATAGAGCTCATATGAAAATAAACTGTAAAATAATCAACAAGATGGATGCGCTGTAGATTGTAAATAAACATTTTAAACTTTAAAATATTCTGAGATTTCTTCTCTTCCCAAGACTAGAATCGTTATTTGGTCGAAGCAGGTCGTTTCGACGCCGACGGTTCGACGCTAACGGTTCGACGTAAACGGTTCGACGCCAACGTTTCGACGCCATATTTTTTTCGTATTTTTTATTTATTTTTAGAATAAATATGAAGTAATATAAATAAGTAATATGACTGATTTTTATTATTGAATTAACGATTGTTTGCATGCATATTTGAAATAAATATATGTGTGAAAGTGTTCTAGATTTTTTGTTTGTGTCCCAGATTAGTGAGAAGCCCCCTCGCCAACGTCAAGGCCCCAGGAAATGAGGGAGGTTTTTTTTTATTTATTTATTTCACAAAACAGCATCAAAAAGGCAAAATACACAAGTGGTAAATAAACATATGGTTTCAAAGTAGTTATATTATATTGCAGACAAATATAATTACAGATAAATAAGATTACAGATAAATAAGATTGCACATAAATAAGATTACACATAAATAAGATTACACATAAATAAGATTACATTACAGAACTGTTATTATACTAATCCATTGCAAAATTATGCGGCACACCCTTTCAGGTATTCCATTATTTCTCGATTTTCAAAATCTTCAACTATTACTTTAATTCTCATATCAGCTCACAGATGCCTATTCCGCTTGTGCGACGGCTCATCTCCACGTACAAATTGTTCATAACATTGATCAATTGATTTTTGAACACGCCTGAGACCATCTATGTTGTGGTGTTGTGGTGTGGTGTATTTAATTATGGCAAAGCATACTAGGGTTATCTGCCTAAGGGGAGGGATACCTTTCGTGGAGGACTTTCTAAGGGAAACCGGCTCGTATACACGTTACACATGGGGAAAACCACGAAAACGCCCAGAGACCATCTATGAATTCTCATAATTTGGGGTGTGAAACACCAAATGATGATGACACCAAATTTATTTGAATGATGATGCAAACTTATTCTAAAAATAAATAAAAATACGAGTATGGCGTCAAAAAAAAAAAGCAAAAAATGTATGGCGTCGAACTGACTTCGCGTCGAAACGACCTCGTGTCGAATTGACCATGCGTCGAAACGCTGGCGTCGAACCGTTGGCGTCGAACTGACCTGTACCGTTATTTGGTATCCTTAGTGTGGCTATTCTACGTATGCATTTTTCTTGCTTGCAATATACATTACAGTAATTTGAAAATATATAAATGTTTTTTTGTTGTTATAGAGAATTTTGCATGTAAACTTATTTTTTTCCCTCCTTTCACAGAAGGGCGAGTGTTTGGTCTAGAAGATCTTCCGTGGATAGTCAGACCGAAACAAAGAGGCGGAAACTTCAAGTGTGTACGGACTGCTTTTCTCTATGTCTCTTTGTTCCGGGAACTGTACTCTGCATTCTTAGCCCTTGGTTATTAGTGCCCATATATATAATTCCAAACTTTTCTGGGAGTCATTTCCAAACTCTTATATGGATCAGCTGTATTGGTTCTGCCATATTAGTTTTCATGGGCTGCATGGTAGGCAACCTCGTGTGGTACAGAAAAGGAGAAGATTGGAAATGTCGTCTACATTGCGGAAAAGGACCTAAAAATCATTACTGGGGCGACAGTTTAACATCAAGAAGAACGTTGCACACCGTTTGATAAGAAATTAGGCATCATTACCTATTGGAATCAAGAACCAAATATTAAGTCTGTTATTTCAAATTAAAATTATAATATCCTACTAAGTCACTGAAACTTAGAAAGATCATTTCTTAACAGTTTAGGCTGTTTATGATACGTCAGGAAACAGTTCATTTTCAGAGTTTGGAATATACAACGTCTAGAACCTTAAATGAGAGGTTTTGTGGCAGTACAAGAATAAATAAAGTTTTCAGCTATGTTTCTATATGTTATTTTCGAATTTCTCAAAGTAAAAAATTTTTATTGTATCAAAACGTGCCTTTTTCTATTATGTTATAAGAAATTAAAATCACTTTTTCCATGTGCCGATGGTATCATGCTCAGCACATCCAACTAAGAACTAGAAGATCTCGCATCTAATAACAGATTATGGCAGCATTGACCTCGCACATTTCTTTCTTGGGTACTGATACAGGCACGCATCAAGAGGGAAATATGAAACATCAGTGCCATTATCGGGAGTTGATTCCAGGGTCTCAGTTACTAACTGGATGTGCTGAATACAGGGACATATCAGAACTTAATTCCTTACAAAATTAAAATCAGCTTAAATAAATGAAAACTAATTATTAAGAGCTTAAATTAATTATTTTAAATATATAATAGTTCTAAAATGTTATAAAATTTAAATTGATACTACTTTAGTGACAAAAACTTGAAATAGCACTTTCTTCATTCAATTCATAACATGTTTAGCATGCATTAATGAACACGGTGAATGAGGCAAACATTAAGGGAAACATGAGGACTGTTAAATCAAGGCTAGAATAAGTAATCCAAAAAATATGCGTATTTAATTTGATATGTTATTTTTCTCACACCCAGTATACTATCGAATGAAATAAACTTGCCCAATATTCTGTACCATCTTTGAAGCTATTTCTTGCAAGTCGGAGTTCTATTTCTTGCAAGTCTTTTCAAAGCTTTCTCAGCCTTTACAGCTATTATTTTGGTCTCAAAATGTACTTTTTAGTAGTAGGATAAAGAAAGAGTTAGGTGGAGTTAAGCCTGGACTATATTAGAGCTTGGGCTTTATGAATTTTTCATAAAAGTAAGCTCGTATAATGGTAAAAATATGTGGTCTTGCGTTAGTGTGACCACATATTTTTACCATTATACCTAGTGAGCGTTTCCTTTGATTTTTCAAAAAAGATATTTTTTGGATTATGCTTCATTAAGGATTACAGTACAAGTATTTACCATCTTTCACCTAATGCAGTACAGGAAAACCTGGTCTACCACTTATTTTAGAATTCTGACGCCCAGTTTTTAATTTTCCCAATCAAGAAAACAATAACTGATCAGCAGGTGATGGAAGCCTACAAGTTGACTGAAGAATTTTGGAAATTTCTGGGAGTATTTTATCGACTAAAGGATTTCATGAAGTTTCTGTAGCTATTTTGTCCAGATAAAAGCGTGAATGACAGAATAATTGTTAATAATTTTGGGTATTTTTTAAAGCAAGCTTAAAGGAGAAAAATAACTACTTTACTATATTTTAATTGCATTGCACGGTAAAAACTAAACCTCAGCCCTTGAAGGAAATGGCTTTGAATTATTCATCCCGACTAAGGCTTCTTTTCCTAGGGATCAGGCATCCCGTTTTCGTGGGAAAAGTAATCTGTTTATTGTTTTGCATTTCGAGGAAACTTTTCCCATCTTGAGAATTTTTTTAGAATAATTCACTTCTCTTATATTAGTTTGTTTTAAATATCAATTAAGAGTGATTTTTCTTTAATTTTAGAATAAAAAGATCATTTGTTAAACTTACTAGTAGATTCACGAATTTGAAATTGCATAAAATAATGAAGAAGTACAATTGTTGTCTGTTTTACTTTAACATTTAAATAAAGGTGAAATTTATATTACCGTATACGCTCGTGTAATGTCCGCAACCCAACTTTACAGATGAAATTTATGTAAAAAAAAAAGTGACCCGCACAATGTCCGCACCCCAAAAACTAAGAATTTTTTACTTTAAAATATATTTTTTAACATCGCCTCTTTACTTTCAGTCAATAACATTAGTCAGTAAAGATCTTTAAAGAAAGAATATGCGTTTCTTTTGTCTTTGGTTGGCGCCAGGATGGGAAGCAGAGACTTTCCTTGTATTCTGGTGCAGCTGTTATACAGTGTAGTGTGTTTGTAAATTTTAGGTAGCTATAAGAAAACTTTAAATTTGATACTTTTATTACTTATGCCATTTTCTTATACTTAGCTTGGTTGTTTGAAATGAAATTTACACCCAAAATTACTCACGAGTAAAAGCGCAACATTTGAACGACCCGTGTAATGTCCGCACCTGCATTTTAGTGATGTAATTTTAGTAAAAAAAGTGCAGACATTACGTGAGCATGTACGGTAATTCTGATTTGGCTACTGGACTTTCACCACTACCAAAATTTGAATTTTCTAAGAAAGTATTGATCAGGCTTTTAATGAAGCCTTTTAATGAAGCCAAAGCTTTGAACATTATTTGCTTTTTGCAAGCAGTAGAAAGTAATTATGCAAGCCTGTAACGTTTGAAGAGGTTATTTAGCCTTAAGCAACACTTAGGCAAACCTTTCCTCAAATCCGGAAATACTATTCGAGCATAGATTTGAAAAAATAGCTTTTAGTTATCTGAGACATGGATGGAAATAGAGCTTCCAATATTATGTGCACAGTAGATCCTGAAATCTACTCAAGCTTTATCTCCGTTTAAGCAAGAAAATATTCCTGAAATCTGATAATCTTTGCTATAAACAACTAAAATTAACGGTTAAAGGGTCAATACCTTGATTCTTTTAAGAAGATGCATAAAAATTTGTTTTGAGTATAAATTTCGAAGGTTTATCGAAAAAGACTTTTTAAAAAAAATTCCAATTTGCTTTATTTTGCACAAATTTAACAGAAAATAAGAAAATATTTTTAATTCTTGCTTATGAAGTGTGTAATTTTTAGCCATGCAAGCATAGACAAGTGACATTATTCCTGGGATCCCGGGAAGGCAAAATGTGCATATTTGAGAAACGACTTCTTTAACCAGACGCGCCGACAGCTGTTCAGCACTATCTGTACTTTTCCACGAAATTTAGTGTTAGTATTTATTGAATATTACATGTATTGCAATTTCAGCATTTCTACTTTGTTTTAATCACTCTTTCTGAAAATCTGCTACTATTAACTGTTCTTCAGAAAAACTGCTTTCTAAGAGCTAAGTTATAGGATCTCTTCAGGATGCCTACCGAGTAAAAGTATTTCGTGCCAACTTACGCAAGAGAAAGTACTAAATTTTGATTTAAAAAACGAACAGTACATTCTTAATTATTCAATACGCTACTTACACATAATTTTACATAGAAATAAAATGCTAAAATAACTCATTCATTTTTTAATCCCGTTTTGTTAACATGATTAACTCTTCAGAAAAAGTAAATTTTTCATTTGATTTTTGTTTTGGCCAAAAGAAATCGGTTTGGTAGACAAAGGTGTTTGTAAACGATTTATTATTTTATCCTTGTTTATTGCTAATATAAAAAAATTAATCCGTTAAGGGTGATGAAGAGGGAGTCACAATATAGTTTTAACGGATGTGTAAATATGGGAATATATATTCTCCTGTAGCACTTTTGATTATTTGTTTTCCAAAAAGGTACGTACCTTAGCTCTTTTTGAATATTTTTTAGTCTTCACTTGTTACTATTAAGTTCTTCATATAGTCTTTAATAACATTCTTAAAAGTCTAAGGGACTAACACCATAGGCCAAAAATAGTGGAATTTGCACCTTTCAGGATTCAACATCGCCAAACCTGTTAAGTAGCCAAGTAGATAAAACAACTAAACGCTGTCAGTTCAACCGGAGTTTCAATCCCGGGGGAAAACCATCTACGTGGGTCGTTTTGTTGTTCTTCCAGTTTTGCAACCAATTCTTCCTAGAAAGTCCTCAAGAGGCAGAATGAAAATATGCTTAGGCAGATTTACCTAGTGTGCTTCGCCATAATTGATTAAGCATTTAACATTTGACCTTAAAAATTTATTTCATTAGAAAATTGGCTACAGAGCTCATCACAAAATCAAAATTTTCATTTTAAAGTCCCTGTATCTCTTCCTGGAACTTGAATCTTATTGTAAACTTATTTTCCAATTTCACTTTCACCGTTAGGTACACATTTTCTAGAAACAAAAACTTGCCGTAGTTTGTTGGTCGTATCTTTTAATTTATTGCAGTATTTCCTAGATGTAGTATATAAATTTTTATTTTATCTTTTAATGATGAAATTAGAAGGTGAAGACGAATTAATTGTAGTGAAGACGATATTCATTGCGTTGAAAATGAAATTTGAATTCGTTATTATTTTAAGTAAACACTATGAAGAAAAGGTATTCCTTAATTATATATATATATATGTTACCGTGAAAGACCGAAATTGGAGAATGTCAACTTTCACCAGGAGAATATCAACATTCACCAAATACGTCGGTGAAAGACCGAATATTTCACTACATTCTTGTATATTCGGACTCTCACCGGTGTATGTCGACAATCACAGATATGCTCTGGTGAAAGTCGAAAAGAGAGGTCATAAAGTGGCATAATAGTTTAAGTTGTTGCAATAAATAAGATTTGAATCACATAATTTAGTAAGTTTTCTATTACTGTTATTTTATTTTCTCATTTAGAACGTACTGTATAATTAAATAACTTTATAACTTCTATTATTTTCCTTTCTCATTTTGAATGTATTGTGTGTTTTAGGTTCTCATGTTAAGTTCTTATTTCAAGTTACAAGTGCGTTTATTCGCCACTGAATTACGGAGAAGAAAATATAATATTGTTATATGTTCAACATTCACCATTAGTACATGGTGAATGTCGACATTGACCGCTGTAAGTCAGAAATAAGAGTATTTGGAAAATATTTCGGACATACAACCAAGAGACTATGTGAATGTTGACATTCACCGGTGAAAGTCGACATTCTCCACATTTCGGTGTTTCATCGTAACATATGTTTATATATATATATATATATGAGGAATTTTGATACGCAGTTAAAGCTGATTTGGCTCGTTCATCGCTCATTTTCACTTTCTTCTGCTCTCAAAATGAGTTATGAATTAATGTGTCTAACTCCCATGTTGTTATTGTCATTAGTGTGGTGGAATAATGCTAAATTTGATACGGATGTATCAATGGTGATCACCCTACAATTATCTAATATTTACAAAGCTAATCTCATATGATATTCAAACTTTCTTTTATATTTCAGAATTAGAAAATATATAAAACACTTTTTAACTGAATTTATAGTTTTAGTTAAATTTAACTTAGGAGATTTAATTTAAATTTAGTTTAAACAAAATAATAATTTAAATTTAATTTAACATATGTATATTATTATACAAAATTTTAACTAGTAATGAAATACAGGGTGATTATAAATTACTTTTACGAATTAAGAGGGGTGATAGTACTCTTCCAGATGAGCAATAATTACCATAGAACATAGGGTCTCATTCCACTCTGAGAGGCAGAAAAGAAGAATATTAGAATTCCAATCTGGACTTACAACAGTTTTGGGAGAGAGAATGAACGAGACCAAATGTTGCACAATTAGTTTAGTGGCAAACTCACAGAGAGTGCACAAAACGGATAAAACCGAAAACTTGACGTTCGAGTGTTAATTCGAGCTCAGACTTTGATGGCAAACACTCAAATGCACATCTTTGGTTGGCAAGGCCTCAACCTCCCAAACGATTGCAACTAGTTAATTATGTAAGTAAGGGTTGAATATTATCAACTAACTCTAACTATATAAACTATTAAACGTCCGCTGCATGCCGAGATTAGCATGAAAAGCTCATGCTGCGTTCCGGCTGTCAGAACTTCGTGTCCCATATAAGGGAGCTTCAAGTAGAATGAGCGCAGCAAAGTAAATCCAGGAAGGCAGGATAGAAGATGGCTGAGAGAAAAACAACTGCTACTTTGATACTTGATATCAAGGTAGTTTTCCCCCTAATAGATAATTTACCTCTAATAATTTAGATAATTAACTTGTTGCAATCATTTGCGAGGTTGAGACCTTGCAAACCAAAGATGTGCATTTGAGTGTTAGCCATCAAAGTCTCAGCTCGAATTAACACTCGAACGCCAAGTTTTGGGTTTTATCCGTTTCGTACACTCTCTGTAGAGTTTGTCACTAAACTGATTGTGCAATATTTGGTCTCGTTCATTCTCTCTCCCAACACTGTTGTGTAAGTTCAGATTGGAATTCTAATATTCTTCTTTTCTGCCTCTCAGAGTGGAATGCGACCCTATGTTCTATGGTAATTATTGCTCATCTGGATGAGTACTATCACCCCTCTTGTAAAAGTAATTCAGAATCACCCTGTATATTATTTGGTATTACGGAAATCAAGTACAACACTGTTGCTTCTCATCAGAAATAAACAAACTTGTAAAACAATTCTTAAGTCAATTAGGGTTTACGATGCAGGAAACATGAGAAAACAGCAATGTCCTCGCCAGAATGCAAACTCCAGACCATCCGATGCTAGTCAAACATGCTTCCAAATACACCAGGAAGGCACATAGCAGGAAGGAGAAAATTCCTTATACAATTCATGCTGAGCATTAAGCATGTTTAAATTACTAAAAATAAATATGATATGAAATAAAATAAATTGATTTAATCATATTTCAGATTAAGTTTTCTAATCTAATTTACCTCTCAATTTTCTAGCTTGTTCATTCCAATATATTATATTGCTTAATTATAAGACATTAAATAAAATATTTCATTTTGTCCGATTAATTTGAGAGTTTGAGTCCACGTTTTGTGAAAGGGGCGACAGAGAAGTTCGTTCATCTAGTAACAGGACATGTGAAAATGAGAATTTAAAGTTTTAATAATTTCTTACTTGCAACATAAAAATGGGGATATTGCTCTTCAAGTATCGTGACAATTGCTCCATTATTTACAGCATGTGAAACTTTGCTGCTGTCTAAACCGATTTTGCTACCATTGAAGGTTAAGTCATATATATAACTAAAGAAACTTCCCAATTTTGGACTTAAAAAGTCTAAATCTTGCTCTAAAGCTGCTAAGTAAGTAAATATGAATGAATTTATTCAGCAGTTTTTGGGATTATCTCTTAGGAAAAGAAACTGTGAATTCATATGTATATTCAAAACACATTTAGTTTTAGTTTTAATTGAAACTTATTCTAGTCTTATGTTGAATTTCAAAATTTCTTTTCATTATTTTAAAAATTAACAGGTTTTTAAAGTAATGAAGGGAAATTTAATAAATTCCAAAGAGAGCCTTTAAAAAGTTAAAATAAGTTTCTGAAGCGAAAAATATTTTAAGCAAGTAATTTATAATGTTTACTAGTTTACTGCACACTTTTAGCTCTTTGGTGCATGGAAAGGTGAAAGAGGCCATTTCTGAAAAAAATATAAGGGAAAATATATGTACAGCTAAAAATTTAATTGGTTCAGGTTCTCATAATGTATGAACAAAATTGTAATTTTCCAGAATATTTCTTCTTGGAATATAGCACTTGAGATTTATCTAAAACATTATCCTTGAGATTTAGCTAAAACATTTCAGTTCCTCTGGAAGACAATTTCCTATTAATACAAAGACTTAGTTTTGTATTATAAATGTAATCTTTAACAAGAAATGATCATAAACTATTGTTAAATAGTTCAACAAGGTAAATATCACAAATTATGATAAATTCGTTTAACAAGAAAAGAATCACAAATTATGGTTAATTCAAAAATGCCTTGAGAAAGTTTTTAACATTGTTACGCTTATTCATACCCAATAAAAATTGTTAACTGATTTCAATTTCTGATACAGCTTGAATATCCTTTTCGGACTCGATTTCTTCTTTTTCGACTGAAGAGTCTTTTACAGCTGGAATTTCCTGTGTGCATTTCGTAGCATCATTAGTGTGTGTTAAAATTTCATTACTCGCCTGCTGTAAATGATCGAAATGTAAAATGTTTGCAGAAGCAGCATCAGTTTTTTCAGGTGATTCGTCACTTTTGTCATCGTGAGAAAAGTTTTTTTCTGATATTGAGCTTTCAGATTTCTTTTCTTTTGTTCCATGAATTTCTTCAACTGAAAAACTGCCCAAATTATCGACATGTTTAGCAGCCTCATTGTTTTCTAATTGTTGATCGCGGTAAATTATAGTTTCCAAATTTTCTAATTCATTAAATTTTTCCATATCAGCAACATCTTCATTTGCTCTAGCGTGACATTTAGTGGACTGTAGTATCTCTCTCTTTTGAAAATCACAATGTTCTTCTGCTTGCGATGTTCCTCCATTGTTGTTGACATTATTGCTGTCATTAGTCATGCTAGGTTTGAGACTTGACTCCACATTGAAGGCTAGGTGTTGCATTTCTTGAGACTCTTTATTAGCATCAGTCACTGGTTTATCCAGATCTTTGTTTGGAATATTATCTTCCTTTAATTCCGGACTCAGTATTTGATTCTTTAAGTCCTCTGCGACACAGCTATCTGAGTTTTGATGAACATATTCATTTTGTGTAGATTTGTTTTCTAATAGTGACAACACTGGATTTATTTCATTTATTACAGGTGTTTCTACTTGAGCTTTTGTATATTCATTAAAATTTGCTGATAAATCACCCGAATTGCTAGTTCGTTCTATATCTTGGTCATTTAATGTTTGGAGTCCTTTGTCCTTACTTGCTAATATGTCTGCATTTTCTTCTGTCACACTTACATCAGAAGGCTCATCATCTTTAGGCATATCCACAAAAATAACGTTTTTATCGTACTCGTGGTAGTTTGGTGATATTAGTCTCATGTCGTCATGTAATAAAACATTGTTTATAATTTCATTCGATTCAGTATTAGCATATGGGTTTTCGTTTCCTTTTACAATGTTATTGGGAGTTATTTCAGGCACAGATTTTGCTTCTAAAACCGATATGTTAGAAGAAGAGAATTTTTCATCAGATGATCCCACCGGCGTTCTAAAAGTTGAGTTTTCTGAATCTAGAGGAAGAGTATTTGAAGTTGATATTGGCGGTTTTATTTCTTCAACTTGCATATCATGTCCTGGAGATTGCAATGAATCGTGAAATGAGGTTGATGGGGTCTGGAATTCTGTGCTCACATTCCATGATGTCTCTGAACTTGTGAAAGATTTCAAGAAAGACGATGAAGTTACAGTTTCACTGTCACGCGAATTCGAATGCATAGTCATTGTTTCTTTTTCAAAAGAGCTGGGAGGTGTTAGAAACTTATCACTTGCAGTTAAGAACTGCTTTGATGCGTTTATGGTTGCTTCTGAAAGAACTGGTAGAGGCGAAGCAGGTGACGGAGATTTCTGATCAGTTCTATTCTTCCTAGAATGTGGCTTTTTATTTGCTACTTTGGGCTCTCTAGGTGAAGAAGACTTTTTTCGAGTTCCCCGATGATGATTATGGGTATGATTTGCTTCTAATGGCTCAGTAGTTGGATTAGGATCCTCTTGTTGATCAGCTATAAGCGGTCTTGCATCAGCACTTCTACGGCATACTTTTGTTTCAACAAGACACATTGCAATCCCTACAATTACTATAAAGCCCCCTATTCCCATAATAGCAGGACCAACGTAAGACATTGGAGCTTTAGTTTCGATCTCCTCATAATTTGCAGGTTTTTCATCTTTACTATCGATGCCGATAACTAATATTAGGCCACCTATAAGTATCAAAGCTAAGCCTAAGAAAACACTACACATTATGACCTTGCCGCTGAAATGAAAGTTCTGCCAACGAGATCTTGTGTGATGACTGCATTTGTGCTCTTTTCTTGTTTCTGAAGGCATTTTTGATCTTTTATTCTGCAAAGAAATAAAATAAATCCGATTTAGTTTTTAGGAAGAAACACAAAAGAATGATTTTGTGAAATTAATTTCATTATCAGCATCAAGCGATAAACATCTTCAAAAATAAGGGTTAGAATATGAAAAGATAATTATTAGCTCCTAATTAAATTTATACCAGCAACTTGCTAAACTTTACTCCCTCAGATTAAAAGAGCGTTCTGACATTTTCCTTTATATGCGATTTCTTTCAAATTCATTAGGGATTATCACCATTGGCATGTGCTTGAGATGTTGTGATTTCCTTTGCAACTGAATCTTTACTTTATGGACTACCAGTGTTTTACGAATTGAACATATCTGTTAGCATCATTAGCATTTAAACTTCAAAGTAATGCTGTCGGCATACTGAGGAAATGTATTACACGTACTGATTCGACATCTCGGATAATTCAATCAACTCCTCAACTGTCATTTTATAGCATCTGTATTGCAGAATATATATCATCTGATAAATCGACTCTTTTTACCAATTTACTTTAACTTAACATAAAACATTTTTATATGTATATAGAAGAATCCTTCAGAAATCGTTCAGCATTCTCTAAAACCTTTCTTAATGCTAGAACCCATGGTTCTTCCGTCCATCTCATTTATTCAGTGCTTCACAGTACAATCGCGTGCTGAAAAATAAATTAGATTCTTCTTTTTCTAACTTTATAAATATCGGTTGGTGATAACTTACTACATTGTTCCATTTCAAAAATTTAGATGGCTACTTTAGTTTTATTAAATATCATAATTTATCCTTCTGTATATATGTTATCGTGAAAGACCGAAATGGAGAATGTCGACTTTCACCGGAGAATGTCAACATTCACCAAATACGTCGGTGAAAGATCGAATATTGCATTACATTCTTGTACATTCGGACCCTCACCGGTGTATGTCGACACTCACAGGATGTGCTCTGGTGTAAGTTGAAAAGAGAGGTTATAAAGTGTCATAAGTGTTTGCAATAAATAAGATTTGAATCACATAATTTAGTAAGTTTTTATTAAGTTATTTTATTTTGCATTTAGAACGTACTGTATAATTAAGTAAGTTTTAAACTTCTATTATTTTCCTTTCTCATTTTGAATGTACAGTGTGTTTTAAGTTCTTATATTCTTAAGTTCTTATTTCAAGTCTCAAGTGCGTTTTTTCGCGACTGAATTACGGAGAAGAAAATATAATATTCTTATGTGTTCAACATTCACCATTAGTACATGGTGAATGTCGACATTTACCGGTGTAAGTCAGAAATAAGAGTATTTGGAAAATATTTCGGACATACACCAAGGGACTATGTGAATGTTGACATTCACCGGTGAAAGTCGACATTCTCCAGATTTCGGTGTTTCACCGTAACATATATAATGAATAGTTTAACGTTAGAATTAAGATCTTCCAATCATTTGTATTTTCAGAAGGAACCCGAATTATTTCTTTCATCTGAAAATTTTATTTTATTGTATTTTACATTTAGGATAATTTTCCTTGTTATCCTATTAGAATGTCATTCAAGAAATTCAATGTTAAAATTTATGAAATTTGATGTCAGATTATAATAAAAGGACTTATGTTATTGTTATATCTTTCTATAGAAAGATACCATGTGAGATCAAATGTTTCGCCTTTTTAGCCTCATAAACTCATACCTAGAGTTTCTTATCTACTATATTGTAAAAAGCGTTTCTTATCTGTATTGCAAAAGTGTAAGGAATTAGAGACCCTCTAAAATGATGAACTGCAATACAGTTAGCAAAGAGTACAAATTAATCGAATGATTATAGCAAGTTTATAAGTAAAACCGATTTTTAAAGACTAACAGAACAGTTGAGGAATGGCATCAGCTCCCTAATGTCTATTACGAAAGTGTCCGCCGAAAACATCACGAAAGAAAGGTAACAGAAAAAACAACGCAAAGCGAAAACGACATTCAACAAAACATCCTGGGAGAAAACAAAGCAAGGAGGAAAACATAACAGTTCTAAAACATCATAATATAAAACTTCGTGATATAAAACATCGTCTTCGAAAATAAAGCCGTCACAGAAAACATCGTCGTAGAAAATATCGTGGAAATACAAAGCCCCTACAATTCATCGCATGACAATAATATTGCAATCAGGTTTTTTTTTTTCAAGCTTTAAAAGTTATAAATGTATTCACATAGCGATTTATGAGTGCAAGAAGGAGTGAGGAATATTTTACCTTCATATTTCACATTTTTCTAATTAACTAAGAAGTTTTTACAGCAAAAGTAGGAAGGAAACTTAAGCATTCAGAAATCGGAAATAACTAGAAAAGTAATGCTAAGTATAGCAATTAATAATTTTTTTAATTTATGTACTTAAAGTACTTATGTATTAAAGGTCATTATTTATTTAAGCTAATTTTTAAAGTTCTATTGGCAGTTTTCAATAAAAATATTGTCCAACAGATTTAGGAAAGAGAAGATGATTAACTGCTTGAGGTTGATTGTTTTTGTAATTGTAATTAAAATTGTTTAATTAATTGCCAAACTGAAAAATTATTTTATTTCACTTAAGGTGATATTCTTTCAGCAAAAATTAAATCTTGTTTTAATTTTTGCTAAATAATTGTTAAAAATTATACCCAAAATATATAAAAGCAGAATTATGTCAGAAATAATGTATAATTACAATGGAGCCTCTTGTCGATCAACTTCTTAAGAGGACTAGTCTTTCTGAGAACATAAGTATTAAACATTACCTCTCTAAGATGAGTACATCCACAGAAGACTAAATAGATACGGAACCGCAAATGATGACTTTAAAGAGGATATTTTATATTTAACTTTACATTTAAATATTTTTTATAAGTACTGCAAAAATATTATTTAATTTTTTCGAATATACGGTACTCGAAAATCGTTTAGTTATTGCTTGAAATTTTATGACATTCAATGAACCATCTTCCTGAGGCAGCCACCTCTACGAGTGAGCAGTATAACTATGATTCTTTGGTATTGAATCTCACCTTTATAAGACGACCAGACTCATAGAAAAGACTATTTAGAGCCGTGAATGGTCGCCTTAGAGAGAGTTCTCCATTCATGTAATTTTTATTTCCTGTAGTAAATATTTAATTTTTCTATTTTTTTTTATTTGAAAGATTTAGATTTATTTCTTGATCTGTCTTAACACATAGTGAATCATCTCGTAACAACATCATCACGAGATCTTAACACATAATGAATCATTTTCTGGACGTGACCTATACTCGGTTTATTGTGATTCTCCATAAGTTAATAGGTAGGTCTTTTAACACGGCTGCCGCTATTATCGTTGAGATGTGGCTTCCGTGAGAAAGTTCTAAGGAAAACCGGCTCACATTAGTAATTAGAACACAGGTACTGGCTAGTGTCTTTTATTCTTAAGGTCACGTTTTTATTGGAATTTCTGAGTTTTCAGAATATCTTAATTTATTCACAATCATATCAAAAACTGTTAGCGGAACTGCATTAATATTTTTGAGTAAGATTTATTTTGAAATGGTTCTTCCCCCTGGGAAGTTTGTAACTACTAAGTCTAACACGATTATTAGTGTTAGACTATAATATAACGCGATTATAAGTGCTATATTATAAAAATTAATAAAATAAAAACTTCATTAGACCGCTCTTAAAGATAGTTATAAGGATAAATACTGCATATATATTACACTGACTTTTATTCTCAATAAACGAAACTTTCCATATACAGTTTTTCGTATTTTAATGACCAGTTATTGTAAATAATATAGATTTCTCTATTTATATTATGTTACTTTAAATGTTTTATAAGCATATCAGTTTGAATGTAAATCATAATTAAAAATTAATATCCGTGTTCACTTCCTGTATATAATCATTTTTTGAACTAAAATGATCAGAAACAATCACTTTTCAGTAAAATGAAGCTATTTTGTGCTTCTATGCACTAAACTAAAAGCATCTAAGTTATTTCGAGAAAACGATATTTTAAGTAACTTTTTTTATAGTTTACGTTTTAAATCGAACAAAATTATGTTTTCATTTTTAATAAATTTATAAATTTTAAACTATGTATTAGAAACATAATATTAATTTTATTTCTAAATGGCATATATTTCAATATTACTTCTTACATGTAATGGAAATTTCGAATTTCGAATTTATATACTAAACAAATAAGGATAGGTAATTGCACATATTTATAACAACGTTTAGAACATTTTATTTAATAAATCCTTTTTATAACTAATTTACCTACGTGAAATGTTTAAAATATCTTTTACAGACTGTTGACTCACTCTTTCTTAATTGTTTATCCCATTTTTTGGAATGCAACTTTTAGTTTTTCAAAAGATAGCCTCTATTTTGTCGAATCATGAAAAATATTGCTAGATAAGATGCGACAAAGGAATTTTTTTACAACAAACATATGCTGCACTTAAGGACAGGGTAACACAGAGGAGGAATTCATTTACATCTCTAACAGTTTTTATTGTCTACCACCATAGAATTTATAAGGATCTACCATTATAAATTCTTTGTCTACCATTTTAGTGGAGAGGGCTGCAACACGATACCACTGTCAGAATGGTTTTGTCTTAGAGAGACCGGGCATAAGTTCTCGAGTTCTTTGCCACCTACGCCCTAAAGACTATTTTGCTAATAGAAAACAGCTAAAATTTCAGGTCACTAAAGAAGATCTCTATGTGCTTAGTAATCAAACAAAGAAAAATAGCATTTCATCTCTTTACTTAATAGTAGGTTTATTAAACGTGTTCTTTGTTTGCATTCGTTTAAAACTGCCTCTTTTGCATGTATGCATTTAATTAATACCTAATTTTATTAATTAATTAGATTAAAAAATCGATTTAATTCCCATTTTCCTTTCCTGTAGTCCAAAATTAGCCGCAAAGTATTTTAATCTTTTTCTTGAAAGAAATCTTAGAAAGTTTTCCGCTAAGATGTATCGCTCCTAAGA